CGTGGCAACCGAAGTTTAACTTATTAACGCCGAGGGCCACACACTCGACCCGACACGACCGCAAAAAGTAAAAAAATAACGGAGGACCTTGGTGTTTTAACTGGTAGCAATACGAAGAACTGTACTGTATTTCGAAGATGAGACAGCCTGCATAAACAATCGGGAGTAAGCAGTGCTAAGTTACATTTCGTTATGGGCTAGTGAGACTGCAGTCCTTCTGCGGAAAAAAAGGTCTCCCCAGAAAAGGTCACACCGCAGATATAATCAATTCGACAGCAATAATGACCAGATGCACAGCCCGGTGGTCCGAGTTTTACAAACGCTGTCGAATCGACGCTCTTGTTACTCCCATCCTGGGCACGAGATGGCTGTGCGAGAACTACTGAAGTCGTCAGACTTCGCCTTCATTGTCAATGGCTTCTGCCGATACTAGGCCATACTGCTAGAAGTCGCGACCTCCGATCTAGACGGCGGTGGGGGATGAGGTTTATATATTAACAGGGTTCAACGAATGGGTTCACAGGGTTAGACGAATCTGAGCCACCTGAGCCAATGCATCATCAGTTAGCTTGATTAGGATAGGTCACTGGAACATGGAGGACTGAGACCGACCCAGACCTGAAGAAGCGTTCTGATAATTCAATATAGACAATCTAACGCACTTTAAGAATACGCAGATGCGATCACTGAGACAAAAACTTTATTCGTTTGGTGGTCCGGATTCCGCCGCGGCTCCGTCACCAGAGGCTGCCAGATCCTGGCAGTCAAGACCGTCGAACCACTCGTACGAAGCAAATATGATGAGAGGGGAAATCGCTTCAGACAGGCCGAAGTTCTGCAGTTCCTTAAGTTCTGTCTCAGGACGTACTTCACGTTTAACAGAACAACCTACGAGCAGGTGAAGGGAACACCAATGGGTTAACCGATTTCGGATCCCTTGGCAGAGGTGATCCTAAAACAGTTAGATTCGCTGGTCTTCTAATACCACAGACAGAAATTCTGGGCGCGTTATGTGCATGGTTCTTTCGTCGTCATCGAACGGAATCAGGTGCTCACGTTAAAAGGACTTCTCAACAGCATCTGTCCAGTTTACGATGGAGAAGGGAGAAAACAACTAGCTGGCCTTCCTTGATGCCTTCTGCCTTCCATGAAAGCGGCAAAAGCGACGTTAGTACTGAACTTCATTCGTAACCACCCAATCAGCCACATACGTAGTTGCGTAAAGATGGTTTATCCGCATGTTTTGACGCACTGCAGCGAACCAGAAGATAAAGTTGCTGAGGTACAATATTTTCGACGGATGTTCAAAGAAAATGGCTACCCGCGCAACTTCGTCAACCGGTGCATGCGCAAACGATACGGGCAACAAAACAACGCCAACGCCAAGTTTTGGCGAAGGATTCCGTGCGTCGACAACTTATCAGGGGCCGTCGGTCGCCTCCTCACACCACTTCGAATCGAACACCGACTGGAGCCGACAATAAGGGATCAGGTAGTGAAACCAAAATACCCAATGCCACAGCAAGGAACATCTGGAGTCGTCTATAAGTTGTGGATAAAGTAAGTACGTCGGAGAATCTGGAAGACTACTCACGATAACAATTGCTGAACACGCAGCAGCAGTTCAGATAAGTGACGCCAATTCTCAGGTCGCGACTCATTCGACGAGACACGGTCACACATTCGAATGTGATGAGACCGAAATTCTCGCGAAAGGGGGCAATCATGTGAGCCCCGAACTGCTTGAGTGATATTTTACGGGCGCCCAGTTTACCAACGGGCGCAATTACCTATCCGACTCACATTCAGTGCTGAGACTCATTTGGGTCAAAGCAATTTTTCACTCGGGTAGCGCTAAGGCGAACGCGTCTTCCAACACCAGCCAGCCAGATGGCCGGGAAATCACCACGCACAAATCCAGCACACACAATGAAAGTTCAGGGGGTCACGAGCCGAGCGCACAAGCGTCATCGATAGGGGGAGGGAACCGTTAGTCGTCATAGGTATGCAGTAGCATAGCGACTGTATTCTCTAAATACTGCAACGCCCTGTATAGGAATTACCCGTTTCTTCTATTGTCTCTGAGGATGGACCCGCGACGGAAGCCAAAACGTCTAAGGAATAAAGTTTTTGTCCCACTGATCGCATCTATTTCTTCTCAATGACTTCCTGGAACCCGCATTCTTGTTTGTGTTGGCACGTTAAGGGTATCACGACATGCTAATAGTTGTGACTCGAAAGGTTTCCAGCTGATTAATAGTTCGCTCTTTCCTTGTAACGCGGGGCAGACTGCAACGGATCCATCTGACTGTTACGATCCAACTCGCTGTGCTACGGGCTCGTTAACATACTAGTTTAGATAAGGAATATTTACATTGGTTGATGGACTTTCATTGTCAAAGCATCTGACATAGAACACCCAAAAAATTGTTGGGCTCTTTTGGAAGCTGAGATAAACAATCCACTTCCCTTCTTTGATATCCTTATGCGCGGGTGTGCAACTGCAGACTAGTATCCAGGACATCCGAAAGCAAATACTGCACTTACAATGCAATCACCCTGTCTCACAAAAGTAACTACGCCCAGATTCTATTCCAGAGTTGAAAGACTTTGCCGCTGACAAAAGAACCGAACGACAATACCTTCATGACCTCTTCGGAGGTTATGGATACTCTAGCTATTTTATCAGGTAAAGCAAGCGGCGAATGAACAGGCGGCAGTCAAAAGAGAAGTAACCTAAAGTATGAAGGACAATTTCCTACACAAAAGTAGTCTCTGAGGCAGTTTATCGACTGTTAAAATCCGCTGCAATGGGCATAACCCTTTGGTCGTTGAATTATGCAATTTAAGGGCAGACTGCACCTACAGGAACCCCCGGAGTTTTCTACAAACTATATCGCAATGCTGGGGAGTACATCTACGTCAGGGGCGAAAATTGCAGACAAATGAGCGACTAGAAGGCTAGAGCCAAATACACAGCTCACAGTTCATATTAGTAAAACTGGCCATACATTTGACATTCCAATCGGAGCGACCATCTTAGGCCGAGGCACCTCGAAAGCAGAACAACTTGCGCTTGAGTCACGATATATATCTGCTAGTTTTATCAACAGGCATCTAGGCCTTCCTATGTCATTAAATACATTAAGACCAAGACAATATGTTTCCCTCCAAATTAAGAGGTCCGGGAGAACAAGGTTCCTTGACAAACGCACCCGAATAAGAGGTAGATTTACAAAAATCATCCATCGAGGTGACGCAGCGTAGAACCAACGGTCGTCAAGCCTGACAAACATCCTTCAAGAGATAGTGGTGACAACGCTACATCAGAAGAGTGTTCACCGGTAGAGGTTCATCTTACGTCCAACGTTACGGATAGTTGTTTCGTCTACCCGTCCTCAGAGAATGAATACTCTGACTCATTGTTAGGTGCTTCAAAGCTACTCCGGGGACTCTTCAGAGCTAACGGTTATCCATGAGCGTTCATTAATCGAAAGCCATCAAAAACGCGGACCATTGCCCAGTAAAGTCGTAGCAAAGCATCCCGTACTTGAAAGGGGTCT